CTCCTATCTCAAAACCTACTATACAGCTACAGTAGTGAAACAGCATAGTATTGGGACAATGACAGACACATAGACCAGTCGAACAGAATTGAGAATCTAGAAATTCATCCATCTATGGACAGCTGATCTTTGACAAAGGTCCAAAACCCATTAAATGGGGAAGAGATAGCCTCTTTAACAAATGGTGCTGGCAAAACTGGATATCCACTTGGAGAAAAATGAAACAAGATCCATACCTCACACCATACACAAAAACTAACTCCAAATGGATCAAAGACCTAAATGTGAAACCCAAAATTATAATGTTCATCAAAGATAAAATAGGGGCAAACTTAGGGGGCCTAATTTATGGCATAAATAGACTATTAAGCATAACCCAAATGCAAAAATAGCAGAAGATAAACTAGATGACTGAGACCTTCTGAAAATTAAATTCTTATGAACATCAAAAGACTTCTCCAAAAATAAAAAGGATAACCTACAGATTAGGAAGAAATATTTGACAGCAACATATCCAACAATGGAACTGTCTCTAAAATTTATAGAAAACATCAACACCTCAAGATCAAAAAGACAAACAATCCAATTTTAAAAAATGGGCAGAAGACACGAACAGACACTTCAACAAAGCAGACATTCAGAGCCAACAAACATACGAATAAATGCTCACGATCATTAGCCATTAGAGAGATGCAAATCAAAACAATGAACTATCATCTCACCCAAGAAATAATGGAAAAGTTCAACAAGACAGAAAACAACAAATGCTTGCCAGGCCATGGAGAGACTGGAACTCTCATACACTGCTGGTGGGACTGTAAAATGGTACAACCATTGTGGAAAACAGTATGTTGCTTCCTTAAAAAGTTGTAAATAGAAATAGCTGTTGATCAGGTAATTCCACTATAAGGTCTACATCCTAAATAAGTAACAGCTGGGACACAAATAGATATGTGCACACCCATGTTCACTGCAGCACTATTTACAATAGCAAAGAAAGGGAAACAACCTAAGTGCCCATCAACAGATGAATGTTGTTGTTGTTGTTGTTAAGC